TCCCGTCCCGACCCGTGCAACCGCTCGGCCGCTCTTCACGGTGCACGGGGAGGAGCCGCTGCCGCTGGCCGCCATCCGCGCCGCCCTCTTTGAGAGCGCACCGCCGCCGCCGCACCGCGCCACCCGCAGCCAGCCCCTGCAGTCCAGCAGCTTCCTCCACCACCTCGACCGCGTCACCCAGGAGGTGCTGGCCGCCGTCATGGCCGCCCAGAGGAGCGGGGCGCAGCCCGGGGAGGTGGTCTGTGTCCCCGGCGTTGCCGAAGGGCTGGTGCTGAACAGGCCCGTGAGCATGGCTGAGCTGAGCCGCCTGCGGAGGCAGTTCATCAGCTACACCAAGATGCAGCCCAGTGACGAAAACTTGCCCCAGTTGGCCAGCATGTTCCTGCAGTACCTGAGCCGCAGCATCCAGTGAACCCTGTCACCTGTGCCACGCACAGCAGTGGCCGTGGTCTGGTCCCAAAGTACTTGCAACAGTAAGAACATGCCTTCCAGCCACAGACCCCTTGGAGCCTGGGTCCCACCTATTGCATATTGGATCACGAGGCAACAGCAGCTCTGGGAAGATGGATGCCGTGTCCCTGCAGCAGCGGAGCAAGCTATATTGCTAAAAGGATCTGTAGGGATGCTGTTCCCCCACCCCTGCATTCTCCCCACTTGCATCTTTCAAAAAGGAGAGCTACTGTTGCATCCCCAAGCAAGTGAAGTCTCCTATGGAGACCTAAACCCCAGTAATCAAAGTGTCTGAACATGAAAGCCCAAAAGGTGGTGACCGTAGGGAAGACTTTTCCCTTCCACATTGGCATGTGTATGTCTTGAATAAGAAGATTGTTCTTCCGAGACTGTCTCCAGATAATGTCAAACTGCAGAAGAGACTTCAGGTCCAGAACTGGGATAGGCTGTATTTTTAGGATGTGACTGTCTCAAAAAATCCTACTGAACCCAAGAGATAGATTTGCAAATTCTGTGCAACAGAAGGGCGCTGGCTTAGCAAACTCAAACCTCTCTGTTTCAGGTTTAACAATAAAATGTGTGCCTTAATTGGAGTAAAGTCTTAATTTACCTGCAGGACTATTCTATTGAAATAACTTGCTATGTCTTTTCTCTGCAAGGTCATCATTAAACGCCTTTAAAAACACTAATTGTTTAAGAGTGAGTGCTCTCATAGGAAAAATGAGCTGAAATAACAGTCTCTGTTCTGGGTGAAATGCTCCCATAAGTCTGTACCAGCTGTGGCGGGTAACTTAGTTTTGCGCTTAGTTTCAGCTAATTTCAGTCTTTGCTATACCACATATATATCTTATATAATATAACTTTTCACTTTCTGGTGGATGCTTCATCCCTCATTTTAATAAATTGTGGCTTTTGGTTTTAATTGTATGTGTAGTGCTACCTGGGAGGAAATGGTAAAGTGGGGCAGGAAGGGTTACTTCAATTACAGTGGCTGTTTATCTGACATACCGGCTGCTGGGTGGACTTACGCATTGCAGAACTGAGAAATGACTGCAGAAATGTTTTGATGTAAATAAGTTTATTTTCCCAGTCAAAGTAAAGAGAATAAAGCTGAGAAAACACATTCAGTATCTCTAAAACTTCTGTGAGTTCTCACTGTCTAAGAGTTGGTATTTCAGGACTGCAAGCACTTCCATTTAAAATCTGCTCTGAAAATCTCTCTTAACTTTAAAAAAAAAAAAGTGTGTTGCAGTACCGATTACCAGATGATTGAGCTCTTCTGACATGAAGCACTGATCCTTGATGATAAGAACAATGTGTATCTTCCAGACTTAAATCGGTCTCTCCTCACGAAAGAGGCAAAATCATGTTGGACTGTATGGAAACAATGGAAAAAAACGTGTTTTTTCATCATCAGGGAGAGGATGCTGATGCAATAGAAGCTTTACTAGGGAAATGTGTATTCTTGCTCCTTACTGCAAACAGAGTCCTATGTAAAGATGATAACATATTGGTTAGTTATAAATGGCAGACTTCTGTTTGAACTACTCTAAATGTTAATCGCTTCCTCTCCACCCTTTCCTGGTTCTGAAGGCCAAAACTGAATGCTGCTAAGTAGAGATTTCCTTTCATATCTATCTACAGCTAAAGAAAAACTTGTACTTCAGTTCTGCTAGTAATTAATTTAGTTGCCGTCATGTGCAAAGGTGTTTGTAATTTCTCTGTGAGAAATTCACTTCATTTTTAACCTCCAAAATGGTAACAGAGTCTACAATAGCAGAAAGCTTAAACTTTGCTTTGCTTGGCATATCCTGAAAGAAGTGTCCTTGTAGTATGTTCTCTATGTGTCTGTCTTGATTCCTTCTTTTCCTTCACCTAGTTTTAGGCTGTTCTTACTGTTCTGGAAGCTGTATCATTATTACCAGCTTCCCTTGGATACTCTTCTATAGCTTAAGGGGTTTACTGGTAAGAGGAAAGGGATGAGATACCCAATTCTTGTTCTTAGTCTTTCTTAGTTTATTGCCCTAGTCAGCTTTCACCAGTTCAACTGTTGGTAGAAACAATGAAAGTGTTAGTAAGGACTTCCGCATGCAGAAAGTGTGGAGGTAAGTGTTGTACTACCTGGATGTGCTCAATAGCAACAGAAGCCACCTGTAGTTGTATCACTTTTCTTGTTAGAAAGGTAAAATTGATGCAAAATAGTCAGGAGCAGTGAAGCAGTGGGTTAATTGGATCACCAGCACTAATAACAGGAAATACGTGAAATTCGTAGTGTCTTTAAGGCCTCTCTGTCTAATTGCATAATGCAGCCTGAATATATTATAAAGGAGCTTAGAGAAATTGAACTTGGTAAGCTTGACTTTGTCAGAAGGTAAAATGCTAAAGGGATCTTTGAAGAACAGGGTTAAATAAAACATATCTCAGGGTGATGGACGCTTAACTTCTGGGTAGTATAGGTAGTAAAGGTAAAGTGAATTATTTGGGACAAGAGAGAGAATAATAAAGAATAACTTTGGTCCTTTTGCATTGCACTTTATTTAGGCTGCAGTTCCACACTGGCCCCCCATCCTCCTCAGTCCTGGCACTTGTCCCGTTTGTCACAGATTTGTTTCAGCATACCAACATGTAGGAAACTAGCCTGGCAGCCAGAGGGTTTGCTAGGTTACTGTGTTTGATTATTGCTCAATGGAAGGTCTTAGTCACAGGAGGTGACTGAAACATACAGACCGTAGTGGGGAGAAGGATGGATGTATGACTGTCATCCACTGGATTGCCTTAAGCAGCCACGAAAATTCATCCTGAGATCTCTCAAGCAGCTGGTGTCACTAATCACTTCCAGTAAAAAAACACATGACCAGTTGTGTATCTGAGCAAATCTAAACTAACAAAAGCAAACCTTCCAAAGAGAAAGTCACCTTCTCTACAAGAGCAGTTACTGGCTGGCAGTTATGATAAATTATTACTATACCTGCTTTAAGATTAGGAAAACTTTTTGCAAGAAAACCTTAAAACACAGCAGAATCTCTTTACATCTCTCTTATTTTCCATTACATTTAGCTTTTGTAGAAGTCTTGACTGTTAAAATGTACATGTTATAGAATTTGGTTTCTGTAAGCTTTCTTTGACAATTTTTTTTTTTTTTTTTTTTTCTTTTAGTGGTTTGCCTCTTATGGTTATCATCCACAAGTCTTGGTGTGGAGCTTGCAAAGGTAAGTATATTTAATACTAGAGCTCGCTGAAATTTCTGATGAACTTTTGTATACAAATCATGTAACCATGAGAAACATGAACTTCACATCCAAAATGTAGCTAACAGTATTTGTATTTCATTTAGAGTGGTATAATATCACACCACTTTACCTGTTAGCACTGCCAAAAGCCAGCCATGCCTAAATGCCAGCAAACTAACAGCTGTAATGCTGCACTTCTGTAGTGGCTGCAATTTCTCCTGCACTTGGCTACAAAAAATGGAACAGAATGAATGATCTTCAAGCATTAAGTGTAAATTGCCTTACTTTCAGCTGGTGGTTCTTCGAAGGTGAAGCTTTGTCTCTTTCAGTATCACAAACAAGCTGGGCATAATGGCTAAACTTAAAGGATGAGCTGGTTGAGTGAGAACTGGTGGTTTACAGCAAGCTTTTTGCTTCTGTTCCATTGGTTGAAATATGACCGCATATGTCTGTTGGCCAGGCTTCATCATATGGCTGCCCAGCAAGGATTGCTTCCATTACCTGCTGTTCTGAGCCTGGCTTGAACGGTTTGATGCATATATTCCATTTACTCACTGCTTATTGAAAAGTACCAGCTCTCCAGAGGGAGGAATGAAGTCGAGATTTTGATGCTGGCCTGAAAACCTGAAATCTTTTCCGTTGTCTTTATGCATCTCTTCTTTTTCTTTTTTTTTTCCCCCCCCTTAATTAGCTTTAAAGCCAAAGTTTGCTGAATCCAAGGAGATCTCTGAACTTGCCCATAATTTTGTTATGGTCAACCTTGAGGTAGGCTGCCCTCTGATTTGTATCCATGTTACTGCCTGGTAATTAAGCATTTGGAATCCTACTTAATTGGTTGCATCCTGTTTTGTGTACATCCTAAATTGTGCACTCCTGAATAGGTATTCAGGATTGATTGATACAGCTGATTGTTTTAAAAAGAATTTTCTTCAGTTTGGTTATTTTAATTGTGTTTATAAACCTGGCTCTCTGCCATTGTCTCTTTTAACAATTTGTACCTTGTGTCATTCCATTGCCACAATAAAGGAATTTATATTCATTCTCTCATGACATATCAAACATTCCTACACCAAAGTGGAGCATTTAATGCAAATTGACAGAACAGAAAAAAAAATTATTGTTTTCACAAATGATACTTGTTTAGGTAAATATAATTTTCTTTCCTTTGAGAGTGGAAGATACTGCAGTTACGTAGTGTCTGTTCAAGATGTAGATTGCTCAGGATAAATGGAATCTGAAGGCAATAGCTCGTTTCTTTGAAATGAGTGCTGTGTTTTGTTAGATACCTTGCTAATATGTTCCCTCTCTTCTGTCTTGCTTTGGTAGGATGATGAAGAGCCAAAGGATGAAGCCTTTAGTCCTGATGGAGGTTACATTCCCAGAATCCTTTTCATGGGTAGGGCATCCATAGCTGTTGTATCCACTCACAGGACTGTGTTCTTATTGTTACCACCTAAATTTCCTGTTCGATTTCTTGTTTCATAGACCCCAGTGGAAAAGTCCACCCAGAAATCATAAATGAGAAAGGAAATCCCAGCTACAAGTATTTCTATACCAATGCTGATCAAGGTATGTGCAAAGTAGTTTGAAGTGCATTTTTAGTGAGATGAAACTCCGGGTGTGTCCTGAGTGAAGGACACACCTTCACTTTTGAGTGGAGAAAAATGATGCTGCTTTACAGCATAACTGGGAGCTGTTAGATACAACGTGAGTGAGTGGCTCTCTTATGCCTTGAGAAACCATGTTCAGAATCATGATTCACCTTAATACCTACTATAATGTCTTTAGGACCTAAACGTTGTCTCCAGTTGTGGCATGGAAAATCATGCAATTCGCATGACCCAGCTACAAATAGTTGGGAAAAGGGCACAGGGCTGGGTTTTTTCCCACAGGTTAATTTGTAGATGTACATTCTGTAACGGTGTTATTTTAAAACACTTTCATTACCAGGACACCTTGATGTTTTCATCTTGAGATTAATAGTTGCTGCCTGTCTGTTTAATCTTTCAGTTGTCCAAGGGATGAAGGAGGCCCAGGAGAAGCTAACAGGTGATGCTTTCAAACAAAAACACCTGGGAGATGAACTATAATGAATACACTGAATGATGCTTTTCCATCACTTCAAAACTCTAAAAGGAAATGATTAAACAGACCAAGAATGTAGCTGCACTGGAGGGACATAATTCTCCTGTCAACAATGTTAAGTTAAACCCTGTTTGGATTTCACACATATACATCAGTTACAGTGTTATCTCCTCCTCTGCCTGGCAGTTTGTACTGTAATGGTTATTTGCAACTAGATAATGTGCAAACACATCAGTTTGTGTGTTTGAGCAACCACTAATATTTGGTGTTAAAAGGGAGATGTGTAGGGCAAAACATTATTTGAGGACAAACAGTGCAATTGGAATAACTAGAAGTAGCCAACATTTTGATGCTTAGTCAGGGTTGGATCCCTCTTTTCTCACTGGTATTATGTGATCCCATTGTTTTTACTGGGGATTGCTATGAATGGGGCATGTTCCTGGGCCTGGTGTTTTCTAGACATCCCAAACTATGAATTCTGTCACTAAGCCAAGTAGAATAAATTTCATGAATGTCCAAGTAGCATGTGAAATTACTAGCTCTGCAAACATATTTTTGGGTAAAACTGTTTGTGATTCATCTTTATTTGCCTTTGGGCAGAAATTTAATTTTTTCCTTGTGCACTCACCTTTTGATTGTTTTATCAAGTGAGAATCGGTTATGTTGAAGCTTTATGGTGGTTCCCCTTTTGTTCTTTGAATGTTTTTTGGCAAATGCCTTGCCATCACATTGTACTGTATTTTTGTACCAGGGTGAAAATTAAACCTTTTTAAACATAAGCATGCAGACAGTGTTTTGTGGTAAAGGGCATAGCTTTCCATTCTTAAGGATGGGGGAATATATTTTTCTTTATGTTGCAGTGGTTATTAATGTTGAATGTCACAGCTGAAGAAGGTTTCTGCTTTTTATAGTTAAAAAACAACAGTTGCTTTTCATGTAATTATAATTCAGCCATTCTTACACTACCTATACTGTTGAGGGCAGGGTAATACCTAGTGTTTATCTACTGGAGCTGAAAAGAAAAATAGAGGGGAAAAAAATCACCTCTCTTGATCTGCTGGTAACGCTTTTCCTGATGCAGCCCAGGATGCTGTTGGCCTTCTTTGCCACAAGGGTGCATTGCTGGCTCATGGTCAACTTGTTCTCCACCTGGACTCCCACGTCCTCCTGTGCAAAGCCGCTTTCCAGCCTGTCAGCCCCCAGCCTGTGCTGATGCACAGGTTATTCCTCCCCAGGTGAAGGACTTCGCATTTCCCTTTGTTGAACTTCCTGACAACCCTCTCTACCCATTTCTCCAGCCTGTTGAGGTCCTTCTGAATGGCAGCACAACTGTCTGGTTATCAACTACTCTCCTCAGTTTTGTATCATCTGCCAGTTTCCTGAGGGTGGACTCTGTCTGTTCATCCAGGTTGTTAATGAAGATGTTGAAGTATCAACCCCAGGGCTACTCCACTAGTGACTAGCCCCTTTCAGCCCAGCGGTTCTGCCAGTTTTCCATCCACCTCACTGCCCATTTATTTAGGTTGTACTTCAACAGTTTGTCTATGAGGATGCTATGGGAGACAGTGTCGAAAGCCTTAGTAAAGCCAAAACAACGCCTACTGCTCTCCCCTCATCCACCTAACTAGTCATCTAAAGGAAAAAATCCTGTCCAAAAGGCACTTGCCATAACTTCCCATAACAAACAGATAATTTTCTACAGATAATTTTTGAAGACCTATCTGAGGACATTAGTTGGGGAAAATTGTTGTATACAATAAACCCAACTTGTCTACTGAGTCCATTTTTACTGTTTGGCAGCGTAATGAATTTTACTTTCCCAACCAGTCTGTCTTTAAGGGATTTTAGACACCAAAACTCAATTGGGCACTAAAAGACAAGGACTCAGTGGAAGTAATGGGATTATTGCAGATTACAATTACCCTGCTCAGCTACTAAAAGTTATTCTACAGGTTTATCCTCTGCTTCTCTTGCAAATTGTCTAATAAATTAACCTTGAAATTGAACTCAGCAACTATTCGCAAGTTGTATCAGCCTTCAAAGTAAATAATTCTGTGTAAGCCCTGAAAAAGGATTTGTGTTTTGCAAAATTGTCTTTTTTTTCCCAGCTGTATCAGTTGACCTAATAAAAAATAGGTCCTGTCTGGTGCTCCCTATTTCATTTATAACCTTAGATTGACATGACTTTAAAAAATCATTGATACTTTTTTTTTTACTTGCCACCCGGGGGAGGACTCTGCTTGTTCATCTGGGATATGATTCAACAAATAATAATTAAAAAAACAATCTCCGATGCAAAATAGCAGGGTGCACCTCTCCGATTTTCCAGGCACGCTTTCGCAGCAGCTCTGCCCTTGTCTTGTCTCTGCAGTGAAATTACAGCCTGTGAGATGTACGTCATTTGTCCCAAAGCCTTGCTTTGCAAAATGCTCTGATGTCAAAAGCAACATGGCCTCAAAGTAATTTTAAAAAGTTCTCCATCTAGAGAGATCTTCCTTCAGTGACAGATGTGGGAAGTGTGCTTCATCCTTTACATTTAAGGCCATTCTGATTCAAAATTACTCTCCTTCACCTTTTCTCTGATGCACCTCCTCTTCTTCAGCACTTTCTGCAACTATTCTCAAGTTGTATCAGCCTTCAAAGTAAATAATTCTGTGTAAGCCCTGAAAAAGGATTTGTGTTTTGCAAAATTGTCTTTTTTTTCCCAGCTGTATCAGTTGACCTAATAAAAAATAGGTCCTGTCTGGTGCTCCCTATTTCATTTATAACCTTAGATTGACATGACTTTAAAAAATCATTGATACTTTTTTTTTTACTTGCCACCCGGGGGAGGACTCTGCTTGTTCATCTGGGATATGATTCAACAAATAATAATTAAAAAAACAATCTCCGATGCAAAATAGCAGGGTGCACCTCTCCGATTTTCCAGGCACGCTTTCGCAGCAGCTCTGCCCTTGTCTTGTCTCTGCAGTGAAATTACAGCCTGTGAGATGTACGTCATTTGTCCCAAAGCCTTGCTTTGCAAAATGCTCTGATGTCAAAAGCAACATGGCCTCAAAGTAATTTTAAAAAGTTCTCCATCTAGAGAGATCTTCCTTCAGTGACAGATGTGGGAAGTGTGCTTCATCCTTTACATTTAAGGCCATTCTGATTCAAAATTACTCTCCTTCACCTTTTCTCTGATGCACCTCCTCTTCTTCAGCACTTTCTGCCTTCCAGACTTGCTACTTTCGAAGGAAAAATACTCCATAATCCTTTTTCCTGTTATTTGGCTGCCTCCTTTTCTTCTGATCCTTTCTACCCTCTCTACATTCAGACTTGCTGAGCTGGTACAGCTTCCCCACCCTCCCTTCTACTTGGTCTTTTCTAGACCATGCTTTTGTCCTCTGTAGCAAGATGGAGCTTGGCACTTGCTAGTCTGCTTGGCGTTTAGCTGGGGTCTCAGTAGAACATGATGTACGTGCTGCTACAGCTTGATTGCTAGGGGCAGCTAGTTAACAAGTGTAAAAGCTCTTTCACATCTCTGGATTGCAGGATAAACTTACTTTTGATCTGTTACTTAAATATTTTCCTCTTTCTACCTGTTAGTTTTATACCTGGACATTTTAGTTGCTAACTCCTAATGCAGATTCTTTACACCCTTCTGCTTTTTAATCTATATCAGGTGGTAAATGCTGGTTGGCATTTTCTTCTGTGCAGAGGCATACATCTTGAACCTTCCATCTAACAGTTGCTTTATGTACGTTGTGTAACTTCATGTGTGCAAGCAACTCCACAGGGTTTAGAGGAGCTGCTTACAGGTCGGTGTTTGTTGTAGTTGCATGTAAAGTTAATTATACATTGCAGCAGCTCAACAGTGCACAGTAACCAAGGCCTCAGATTAGTTTGCCCCCATCAGCTTTGTTTCTTGTGCTGCCCATCTGCATATGACTTGCCATAAACCTGCATACTTACATAACTTCTTTAGATGCATCCTAGAAATCCCCTTGGACTCTCAGCTTCTACGCCTCTTATGGTGATAACAAAACCCAAAGACACTTCAAAATTCTTAGTATAGTCCCAGGGAACTGCCAGGCCAAATCAATCTCATGTAAACAAACATGTTGTCAGCTCCCTTTCTCCCAGAAACAACCCACAGAGGAAAAAAAATCCAAAGTTAATTAACGAGTGACTGGACTGCAGCTAGCCATCTGGCTGCCTGGGACCAGAGGTTGCGTTGTGCACCTGGGGCTGAACAGGTTTTAAGGAAGTGTCAGCTAGAGACTCGGGAAACCTTTCCTTTGCCATGTTTAGCAGCAGGGAACAAAAGTACAACAACCAAGAACGCCAGAGTGTCCCGTCCATCATCCTGGCATGCTGAGTATAGGAGTCATCTACTTCAAATGCACTTTTGTCCCCATGGCTGTTTGTCTGCCATCATATCTAGCCTGTATCAAACTGCTAATGAGCTTCATTCATTGTCCTCACTTACAGCTTGTGTAACAAGTATCTCTGAAGATGAGATATTATTAAACCCGTATGAATGCAAGGTCATATATCCTTGGAGGTGATGAAACTTTTCTTAACTTTTGGCAAGAGGAGAGGCATTTACATTTGCATTGTGCTGTGATACTTCTTTGCAGCTGAACCAGTATTATGCCTGATTGGGTTTGCCCAACAAGGAGAACCACTCCAGGGCTATTCCTTCACAACCGTGGCTATAGGTGGATGAAAAATTGAGACCTGAGGATGGAGACTTAGAAAGCAATAAAAGTGGAATTACACCGAGCAGAACTCTGTCTGGAGAGCAGGATAAAAAGGGGAACTTCACTGCAAGTTCATGCTCATCTCAAAGAAAGCAAAGCCAAAGGATGAAGTTTATCTAAAAGGTTGCATCCCACTTCCAGACAGCTGTGTAAGTTGTCTTTGGGGCTAACTGGACAGGGGAGCTTGCTGCCTGGAGGGAACCAGGAAACAATCATGAAGGTCTGTCAAAATGGTAAAAGTCACTTTGTCTCAAAACTATTTGGCATACTAACTTATTTTCCCTCTCTTCCTCCAAGAAACAGATCCTGATTTGTTAAGCAGCTTAGTCAAATAAGCTGAGTTTGCTTTTCCTTTCAAAGTTTGTCTAGTGTAAGGAGTGGCTGCATACAGTTCCCAGGCCTGCCATTGTCCGGGGAGCACCACTCCTGCCAGAGGTGGTGATTCACGCTTGCAGCGCCAGCCAGGTGCCACCACGTCAGCATGCCCTGAGGAGGAGGAATCTCCACTGACAGCTGCCAGCCAGTTCCTGTGGCCTGTCACAGGCAGTGGGGACAGGGTTCAAGACTTGAGTGATCCTCTCCAGGCTGTGACAAATGTCATGGCACAATTTTGTAATGACTACATCTGCAGTAGGTTCCTTTGATTAGGGACCAAAAAAAAAGAGATATCCGAAACTTCTCCGTTCGTAACTATGCTGGAAGCAGGGACTGGCTGACCTGTGCTTACAGCGTTCCAGGTTCTGCCTCAGAACAGCAAGGGAGGCTGTTATACACCACCCCATGCTGGCACTCGTCCTAGGACGGGGCAGAGCGGCCCATCAAGCAAGGTGCGGGGAGCAGGCAGGGTACGTCCCAGGCATGGGATCAGCAAGTGGGTGGGTGCTGTAAAACCAATTGAGCATTTCTGAGCTGCTCCCATGTTCATCTTTCCTCTGACCAGCACAGGTGTCTCCTCCTCTGTTTCCCATGTCCCTGCCATGAAGGGGAGACAACCTCCTAGAGTTTCCCCCCTCTCAAAAGGGCATGATCCCATTGCTGCCACTCCAAGCCAGGGCAAGGGAGTGAAGGCCTGCAGGAGCTGCGGGAAGAGCCGGGACAGGGCTGACAGGGCAGGCCAGTCTGGACTGAATTTGGCTAAGGCTGTAGGTAACTGGTTGCTGGTTAGAGATAATTTGTTGGTATATACTCA